GCTCGGCGGCGGCCCGCACCGACAAGGAGACGGTCTACGAGTGGTTTGGGCTGGTGCTGGGCTCGGCGCAGCGGCTGGAGTTCATGGTGGGGCTGCTGGACCTGTGCAACCCGCTGGAGCTGCGGTTCCTGGGCTCCTGCCTGGAAGACCTGGCCCGCAAGGACTACCACTGCCTCCGCGACTCGGAGGCGAAGGCCAACGGGCTCAGCGACCCCGGGCAGCTGGGCGACTTCCGCGACCCGGCCGTGCGCTCCAAGCTCATCGTCTACCTGGCCCTGCTGGGCTCCGAGAACCGCGAGGCCGCCGGCCGCCTCCACCGCCTCCTGCCCCAGGTGGACTCCATCCTGCAGAGCTGCCCGGCGCGGCGGGCCCAGGCGGGCGCTGCCGAGGAGGAGGGGGCGGAGGAGGAGGACGTGGTGGTGGTGATGGACGGAGCGGGAGAAAACGGGCAGGCCGGCCTCCCCGCCGCCCAGGGCCTGGGCTTCGGCGCGCAGGAGGAGCTGCTCCTGCTCTTCACCATGGCCTCGCTGCACCCGGCCTTTTCCTTCCACCAGCGGGTCACGCTGCGGGAGCACCTGGAGCGGCTGCGGAGGGCCTTGTGCGGGGACCAGGAGGAGGAGGGCTTCGGCCGCCACCAAGCCCAGGTAACGCCGCGCCTGGTCTCTTCCCGCTGCGCCATCTCATCAGGCGGTTTCCTCCTCCTTCCTTCACCCCCTCCCGATTTTCTAGGAGCTGGGGGCGGCCGCTTGCCTCTTTCCCCGAAGCCCCCCGCGGGGACGTGGCCCCTCCCGTCTCGCCTTGTCTCTCGTCCGATCCCCACACACACACCCCCCGCCCCCCCGGCAGTGTAGGCCCTGGCCACCCCCACGAGCTGCTGTAGAGTCTCTAGTATTTTAATAATTTCTTTTTATTGTTGTGATGTAACAGTGCCTGACCGTGACGTAGTAGAACTGGGGAGGGAGGGAGGACTTCTTCTAGCCTGCCGTGCTTTCTGGAGCACCGCTTTTTGAATCCTGCCTTGCTGGAGCGCAGGGTGCAGAGTACTGCTCCGGCTTGACTGGCTGCCTCGTACGCTGTAGGCCACGGGAGAAGTTGTACAATGCAGAAGTACAAGCGACAGCTTGACTAAACTTGAAAAAATAACAGTAATAGTGCTAGATAGAAACCGTACGGCCTAAAAGAGCATTCTCTAGGGGCTTGAAACAATAGAACGCGTTGAAATAATTTTCATGTGGAACCTGCTTCCCGCCCCCCCTCCAAAATGAGACGTAGGCTTGGACTTGGCAAGGATCAGGGCAGCAGTCGGGGGTCAGCAGCTCTCAAGCTGGTTCTCTGAAAAGCCACATTCGGTAAGGTGGCTGAAGAGGTTTGGGAAGGGGCGGTAATCGTTCTACTAAGGCAGCAAATTCAAATGTCACAACTGGAGCTTCTGTTCAGAGAAAAGCTGATTTTCTGGTGGCTGTCGGGAAACAGCAAAGCACATCTTGAAAGCAGATGTGCCACTTGTTGCTAGAAGGTGGCTGTCACCGAGAATGAAGACGTTCAGTGAGTGGCACTGAAGCGTTCTCCTGTGCAGCAGCTATGTTTAAACCGAGGTTTTCACCCGTGCCATTCAGTGCTGCCCTCTTGGCGAGCGTTGGCTTTAAAATCTGCCCCGTATTTATGCAACCGAGCCATCGTTGTGGAGCTCTGCAGTTTTTGGTCTATAGATGGCCTCTCGTGCAAAGGGGAAGAAAGGGCTGGAAGATAGCTGTTTATAGTGCTGTTCAACCGAACACATCAGGTTTTCATCGGGTATGTAACAGAAGAAGGTACAAAACAGTAAGGGTTGGGGCTTTTGGATTTTGCTTCTAAGTTGGCTCGCAGTGCTATCCAATTCAGCCACTCCTAGAAAACTGTTTCACACTGCCTGCCATATGAAAGGAATGGCTCCGTTTTCTGTTTGGTAAAGACAGGATATGCTTTTGAGGAGTAGTTGGAGGAGACAGATGAATTTCTAAGCCTTCAAACACATGAAGTAAATGCTTGTATCGTTTTAAGGCCAAAGCACATTTGGCAGGTCATAAACTAGTGGGTAGATGTTACGGTACTGAAGTCATAATGAATTCATAGCATAAGTCCAAAAAGTGTTTATTTTGGCTCATTGACCTGCATCAAGTCTAGCTCTATCCCAAAATGAATTCTGGAAGTCCATCTTTAGGGGGAGAAGTCCGAGTTGCAGGAAGTGGTAAGACCGGACACTGTTCTTGGTGGGTTTAAAGCGCGAAGAACTGGAAACATACTTCCTGCCTGAAACTGGCACATCAGTTGTAGCTGCTCAGTGTGTCCCACCAAATGCATAAGGAGATCAGGCTCTCATGAACTACCGGAATTGAAGCCTGTTTTGTGCAGCATTCTGGCTTCGGCATAAAAGCAGCCTTCCAAGTCGTGGAGGTTTTGTTTACTCAGGGAACACTGAGAGACCCAAGTCAGCTTGGCTGAACATGCACATCACATATTTCCTAGTCCACGCAGGACTGAAACGGCATCCCTTCTGTAGGCTTTTTTTCCTTTTTTAATGGTTAAATTGTAAGTACAGCAGAGCCTCTTCTGGGAAATAATGGCTGACAGGGAACGGAGGGGATCAGTGGTTTTCTGCTGAGTATTTTCAGTTCACGTTCACAGGGACAGTGGGACCCTGGCAGCTAAGACGCTGGGGGAAGTGGAGTTAGTAGCACAGTCGAAGACTTCCCTGGCAAAGTGCAGCTGTACTGTTAAATTGGGCTTGATTTAAAATCCTGTCAGGTGTCCACAGGCTTTTGTATCCTCCTTTGATCTCTGAAATTTAAGTGCCTT